AATTAATTAGTTCACATTTAACTAAATAAATGAAATATATTTAAAATTATTTTTCTTTCCTCGATGCTAGTTTCTTTTAATTTACGACCCATTTTCAATGTCTACAACTCACTTGCACAAATAACAATAGCAAATGTCGGAAATTCAATGTAAAATTAAAAATTTCGAGTGTAGCATTCATAGCCGTACTTCTCCACATTCTTCCGGTAGATTTTGTTGCTAAAATTTTTCATTTAAATGGCATGACTTTGAGTTGGGTGAATAATTTTGTCCCTCACATAAATGAAGTAAAATGCAATTTTTGCAGATTTATTTAAAATGGAAATTTAATTTGTAAAATTAATGTTATTTTTAAATATCAGAGATATGAATAAAGATTTCCTTAGAACGAAACTATAACCTAGCTTTTATTATTTAAAAGATACAACCGTTTTTGTAGTAAACTCAGTGATGTGTGAATAATTATGTCACCAGTGTAGTTGCCGCTGACTTATAGTTTAAAACATATTTGCATTTAAAGTTAAAAAATTGACAACTTTTAAATTGATAATTTGTATATTATGAATAACTTTTTCACTTATGTTATGCAGTTTTCAGTTACTAACACTTCTCTATAACGTTTTTATATATTAATTTTTTAATATTTATTGCAAATAAAGCTTTATTTTAATTACTTTGTTTTAGTTAAATTCACTGCATTTGCACAACAAGAATAGGGTTGCATACTAGCAAATATTGCCATATCTGCCTCGTTGCCAACAAAAGAAAATAAGCAAAAACTTTATACCCCAAATACATAAATGGAAAACGCCAAAAATCGTCAGCAATTTTTTCTAAAAGTAAAAAAGTTGCAACCTCAACTATATATATATATTTGCGTGATCTGGAGAACGTCACCTTTCCACTGACACCCATTTTATCCCCGAAATCCGGGGATGAATTTAGTTATGACGTCACAATCTTCCTTTCTTTTCTTATTTTTATTCAATTACAAAATGTGGTAACACTAATTTTTTGTTTGCTTACAACCATTTTTTTATTTTAGGAATAAATGGATTTTAACTTAAGTTTGATATGAAATTAAAGTTATTTTTGC